AGAAAATCATTGCTTATAGTAGATATATTCTCTCACACATGGACAGAAAACAAACATATAATAGAGAGAGAGGCTCTATATATTTTGTACTTAATCAAGAGACTCATCTACTGAAGAGGAATCAGACTGAGGCTAAAATATAAAGATCTGTTCTACTCCATGCTTTATTGCCAACCATGTGGGATTTACCTGTTCACTGTTTATTTTCCGTCTATGTGGGATTCGCCTGTTTGCTGATCAGTGTAAATTTATAGCACTTGCACTAAACCAAACTAACATAAAGAAGGCATACTATAATTTTGTATTTACCTCAATACCGATAAGAATCATCAAACTGCATTGTACCATGCATAACAGTCATCACTGCCTCAATAAAAATGCCTGATTCTATACTGCTAGCAGGTAATCTGCATATTGTGCAAAGTTAATTTTTACAAATTCCAAAACTGACTGCTTATCTCATCAATATGCTTTCCAGATACAGACAGCTAAGAGTCAACAGTATCTAAAGGTACCTATTTTTTCACATATAACACTAGTACTGATATACCAATAGCAAAAGAAATTTAAAATGATGAAAAACAGTTAAGAAATAATTAAAAATAAAGTACACGTACATATACTACAGGGTGCAAATGAGGCAATAACACTTAAACAAATTACATAGCATTTCACATTACTAACAGAGGCTCAAGCTGAAAAATTATCCTACTAAAACAGGATCATTTTTCACCCTGATTTCCCCCTTCCCCCAAACAAGACACAGTGTGAACATTTTTTGATTTAAGGGTCATGCCACAGCCATTCCCCTTAAAAAAAATTGCCACAAAAAAATGAATAATGACATGTATTTGTGCTGGATCAAAGCCAGTGAATGTAGAAAGCTGTGAATCTGGGCATTCAACTGTACTATAAACACATGACATAAATCTTCAGTGGAATAAAGGCAAAGGAATGTGTAAGTACTCCAGGAATAATGTGTATAATACGCTGAGTGCCAGTGGCTAGGTTAATCTGGAAAACTGACAAAAAATTTTACAAGTGGTGGGTCAAACCACCACTTCAAACCATGGTATGGGTGGAGTTAGAAGCCATGGCAAGTGAGTCGTAAAACTCCAGGATAATGCATAAGCCACTGCTTTGTTTGTTTGCAATAGTGTTATTACAATTTCGTGCGTCACCACTTCAACCTTATACCACACTGGTATAGAAAATTGTGGCCTGGAGGTGCAGTGCTCCAGACATTAGAACTTCTAACAAAGTCAGGAATGCTAGCTCCATGGGTTCAAATCCTGGGTCTAATAGGTAATATGTTTGCATATATGAAATAAAATGATACATGTTTCTACAGATGTCGGGTGTTAAGGAGTTAAGTGGAGGGAGGTGAGCACATCAACTACCCTCCCAGCTTGCTTCTGTGCTTAAATCACAACACACTAGTCTTAAAGAATTTACCAAAAAATTATGATTTTTCAAAATAAAACAATGGAAGAGGTTTGTTACTAATTTTTGGAATTCTGAATGAAAACTTTTAAATTTTCACAATTTGACTGCACTGTATGGTTTATAGGAAGCCTAATTCATTACCAGACTCAACACTGGGAAGTGTATAATAGTAGTGAGGAGATACAGTACTGTACTTAATGAAAATGTGTACATGATTTATTTAGATCTGCCTAAAGGCCTGGATAACCCAATTCAGCTTGAAATTCAATAATCATAAACAAAAGTGTGCCATGAGGACAAGGCTATTTTAAAAAAAGTCAGTGTTCACGGAATATAAATTAAGGTACATATATATAAGTTCTAAACGTATACAGTATTCATCCTGTCGCTGTTTTTCACACAGCTCTAAAATACTGATGCCAGTGTCACCCATGCAGATTTAAGTTTAAAATCTTGCTCAACGCAGTGCAACCCAAAACAGTAATTACGCATTGTAACCTTTGCAAAGAAACATTATCTTTATTCTTTTTTATTCTTTACATAAACCTCTGAGCTTGTACTTGGTTTAAAATAGTGACTGAGGTGTTTTATAAGGTTATATTAGCTGTTTCTTTGTATCAATTAACAGAATAGAGACTGATAAAATAAAGGTGATTCTGGTTGGCTTTAGACCAGAGGTAGCTTGAAATAGTCTCAAAGCAGTGGAAATATTTAATTTTTGGTGATCTTTCTGCAGAAGGTAAGACCACCCCAATCTGTTTTATGAGTTTCTATCAGGCCTGTTCTTTAATTTACAGGATAGTTCTGACACTTGAATGGGCAGTTTCTTGCTCTTAATCAACAGAACAGAATTCATACTAGCAAACTGGCTTAGAACTGGGTTGAACTGAGAAATGGAATTGACTGAAAATAGTACTTAAATTTAGTTAAATCACCAACACATAAATCGCACTCAAACCACCAAGTTTATGCCTGAGTAATTCTGTAAGTTTTCCATCAAATTTCATATTTTTGGGGTCAGTTAACTTCAGAAAAAGATTGTCTTTTTTTTTTAAATCACAACACTGTCAGCATTTTAATTTCGGGGGTCGCAACAATGAAACAATTAACCAATCAATACTGCGGATACAGGAAGGCCCCACTTATACAGCAAGTTAGGTCCGGGCTACTGCTGTAAAGTGAAAATTGCTGTGATGTGAAACGTAGCCTTTTTTCACTTTCAAATGCATATAAAAGCTTGATAACATGTTTACGCTATCATATACTATTAAGTGAGCAATATAGCTAGGCCTGAAAAATGCATATACAGTACACACATTACTTTTTATCAACAAACCAGCCGTATCCCACCAAGGCAGGGTGACCTAAAAAGAAAAACAAAAGTTTTTCTTTTTAAATTTAGTAATTTGTACAGGAGAAGGAGTTACTAGCACCTTGATCCCTGCATTTTAGTTGCCTCTTACAACATGCATGGCTTACAGAGGAAAAATTCTTTTCTTTAGCTTATAGTGAGCAGTGAATAAATTATAAGAAGTCTGAATACACGAAGAATGGGTACAACTGAAAACTTTGTTTTACAGAGCAAAGCTCTGTAAAACAAAGTGCTGTAAAGTGGGGCCCGCCTGTACTCACACATGGTCCAGTGCTATAATGTATTTTTCCACAGTATCAGTGCTCATTAAATTTTTAAGGTTTCCATAATACGTACTTTTCAAAGCATAGTAGTACCTTATTTATACAACCCCTGAACATTTAGGTAAGAATCATTCACAAAGTTTGTAATGCCTAATGGTAAATATGCTAACAGGAATTATTTACAAAATGTCTAATGGCAAATGAAAATATCTACAGGGAGCCCTTAATTTAATAGACCGATGAGGGAAGGGGATGTTAAAACCCTTGTCTATTAAATCCAAATTATGAGAATATTCTTCTGTGATCGTAATGGTAATGGATAATTTTGAATATAGTAGAATTTATCCATCTAAATCCTGAACTATACATAAAAATAATGAAAAATTCTTATTTAATGGACAAGGTCTGTTAAATCCAAAATAAATTTTCCCAGGAGACTGCAAGAATAATGGGCAGTTCTGGATTAAACATACCATGTTCATTCAATCCAAAATCAATTTACCCAACGAATGGATAATTCTGGATTTAACAGACTATGTTCATTAAATTGGAAATTAATTTACTCAGCGGAACATAATAATGGATAATTCTGATTTAACAACCAGTGTCCATTGTTTTCAGATTTTGCCTGCCAAAAAACTTGATCTACGACATCTGAAATTCATTAAATTCTAACGAGAAAAATGGAAGGAAAATGAGTTTCAAAAGTTAACTCTGAATTCTGCACAGTAGGTGTACTGCATGTGCTTTACTGTCAAATGTGTTTAATGACTATTAAATGTAATAACACGAGGTCTCGCACTTGCAGTCACCACAAATCACAGTCATAAATAAGGCACTTAGTAACAAATTAGTTACAACTGCTGAACAGCAGTAAAAACACACATGACACAGCATCCTTTGTAGTGATGTTTTCTACACAAACAACTTATTTATAAGTTGAAAAATCAGGAACGCAACTTGTAAGCTGGGACCTTCCTGTACAGTCAATGCATAACACTAATGTGCATTTTAAATTGTTGCATGACTACCCAAAGGTTACCTGAAGACAATTCCTAGGGTCACCACACTTGTGGCATGATCCCAGACCAGGCTTCCTGGTTGATGTCCTTATCAACTACACTGTTGATGCTAGCCGAATGCAGTCCAAGGTAGGCACTGCAACCTGCTGTGATTGTATGTGACAACACAGCATGTACTCTAGCCTTAATAGTCAAGTCTGAAATCCCTTCTCCTCAAGAAATTAGGAGAATGTACACATTTTTCCTCTACATATTACTAATGCGTACACGTGGTAAATAATTGAAAATGTAAACAGTATGTGTCACTAGGCTTTACAAAGTGAATGAAAGCTTTAGGTAAGAAATCTAATGAAAATGGGCATGCAGTATTTCCAAAACTATAATTAAAAATGGAATTAAGGATGGTATTTAATGATACATTATAGCATATAATACCATATGAAATATTGTATGGATATCAGTAAGGATTACACCCACTGGAAATTTAAAGAATTTACTGGTATACAATATCTTTCATTTCTTTTCCAGAATGCACACCACCTTAACATTTTAAGTACGTGTTCCTAATTACTAAAAAATTTACTATAATATGCATACAGTAGTCAATACAAAGCAATATTTTATTTAATGAACCTCAGTTAATTCTGAGTATTATCAAACTAGAGAATAATAGATTATCTACCAGTTAAGGCACCATAATTACAACAGGTGGACACCAAACTCATATCTCATCCTTACAAAATAATATTCACGTTACATTACCAATTTTCACCACAGTCTCTTTAAATCTTCATAGGTAACTTGACCAAGAAGTGACTCTTAAAATGTATATCTGGGCCCATTATCTGTGAGGGTCATGCCAGTGGTCGAGTTACTGGCACATCATACTGCACTGACCTTCCTTTGTGGTGAATGTGATAACCTCTTGCCCATTGACTTCCCATATGATGTCACCTGGAGCCAGCTGTGAGAGAAAAGGTATATAGTCTTACCCCAATTTATACAGCACTCTATTAGCAAAAGAAAATGCTATTCAGAAATAATCAAGACTTACTGTGATGTCTGACTCATTAAAACACAGAAAAGTGTATTAGAATCTAATTCTTAGTGAGAATCACTAACAAATGAATTATACTTTCTTATATTTGGGTGACTTCATCTTTCTCAAAATCTTATGGTACTTGTCTTTCCTCAAGCATGCTGAGGATTTAATGTTTATATCACATCAGTATAAGTGTTCTCCTTATTCTGAATTCATGCAGCTCTACAGAGAACCTTATTTAATTCTTCCCTTATAGTAAAGAATCAGAAGGAAAAGAAAAGGCTATAGTACACTGATTATATAGTTGCCATTATTCCCTCAGTGTACACACTAAATTTGAAAAAAAATCCCAAAAGCTCTTCCAAGTGCTCACAACTTGTCCCTGAGTTATGAACTATTTCCAGGCTTGCTACACAATATGGTTTGCAAAACACTCACTAAATCCCTATGGAGCCAGTTTCTAAGCACATACCTTCCACCATGCTATAAAATTTAAGCTTCTTAAAAACGATCATTTAAAGTATTGAACAAGACTGCACATGTGGCAGCCACCTTTTAGAATATAACAAGGAGCCCAAGCACTCTATTACATACCACTTTTCTTGACAATGTGAACTACTAGTGTTTTTACCTTTACTAGAGGCTCTTACCCTTGACAGCACTCATATTCCACACACACACACTGTTATCTCTTACACGCTTTTAAAAACACTGATATGTACTGTAATAGTAACTAGTTTCTATATTTTTCATTTATGTGCTGATTACTGCATCAATTGACACTTCAAATACCAAGGGCTGGAAAATATTTTGATTAGCCCTTTTGCACTTTTTCTTAAGACATCCACACACATTCTTATAGCATCATGTTCAGACACTAATACGAAGTACCAGTGGTAAAAAAAATTATCAGTTAACCTATCTCCATACCCTACACATTCTCTCAACTATCCATAAAAATATATAAATTCTAGGTAGTGAAACTTTACTTGTAAATGTTGCATAGTGTCAAAAAAAAAATTGAATACAGTACATGTACATGTAAAAGTAAAAATCATAAAAGCAGACAAGCAACATTAAGTAGACTAGTATAAATCATAAACATCTTGCAATGTATAATACTAAACATTAGTAATGCAACACAGCACACAAATTAGGCATAAAAGCATTAAGCAAAAATCAAAAGCGGCAAACTAGATCACCAACAGAGTAAAAAGGGACTGCACATACGGTTTGTGGTTAGTGAGAGCGATACCCAATTAGAGAGCGAAGTTTTTGTATTCTTGTTTCCAGCTTCAGTTTAGGATCCTGGATTGAGCATTGTATATATTATAACTGCTTCTAGGCCCTGCACTGAGCATTATTAAGAAGGTAAGAAAATAGAGAAAAAGCTTTTGGTCAATGTTTCATTCAATTACATACAATAAACCCTTGCTGTTTGTGGTGGCTTATATTCCTGAAAGTCATTTTGAAGGTTAAAACTGAATATGTCACCTTAGAACCTGCAGACATGCCCACACTTACACCACCACATCCACCATTTCCCTATTTTTAGCTAAACTATTCATATTCCTGACAAAATTATGTGAAATACACCTGTACAAAAATGTATTAGCATTTGTATGCAAAATACAAAAGAAAAAAATTCATATTGCCAATCTGTTTCGACTCATGAGTAGTGTAACCTCAAACACCTAAGGTACAACAATAAAAAAAATATAACGAAAGGAAAGTATCACAAATACCAGAGTTGCGAATACCAGGGGACTGTTGCACATATATTTCAATATACTGCACTATACAGTTATATTTTCAGCCTTTGGATGGTAACAAACAGTGAAGCAATGTTCCACAAACTCTAATAAATGCAAACAATGTCTTTTAGTCTTTGAATTACTGTATCACATGAAATTTATATTTTTTCCTAAAAATACAAATATGCTGTACTAACTACAATTGTATTAAGACAATTGTGAGAGGAATCCCTCTTCTAGCCTAGTATGCCTTAAAATAGAAACAGTTTTATTAAAAACTTTTAAAAATATTCAATCAATTATTCTTTGAATATGTATGCATAAATGTGTTCTACTTAAGTAACTGTTAAAAAATTTATCTGGAATTTCTCTCATCTGCCTACTAACACACTCTCTCTCTCTATGTAGGCTAGGCTGAAATCATAAACCATGATGTCCTAAACCTTTACACCATCAATTCCTTATAAGGCTGAATTGATAGTTTTACCTATCACTTGCTACTGCAACCCCAAGAATACCCACAGCATTTGGAAGGTATATGTATATGAATAATTTCACCTTGCCTCACTTACATGCACCAGCTCAGAAGATTTTTCCAACACAGTATCATAAAAAACCTACAACAGTCTATAAAAATATATCTATCATAGTACACTTATATTAAGCTATATTAATCTATGAATATAATTTATAATACAGTAATCTGCAATTATATAGGGTAACTACATTTAAATTAGAAAGTATGTCTGCACCGAGGACTCCATGGGAGGCTCTGTGTAACTCTTGTCTTCTATATAACATAAGCATTCCTAGAGTGGGTGGATGCACTCACACAGCAACACATCAAAAATGGTGAGGAGGCTGGCAGTGTCAGTAGGCAGTCTAATAGTTTGGCTGCTAGTCTCTTGATGTCCTACAAAGAGCAGCAAGGAAGGGGATCTGGAGATGGCAGAGGAGCTGCAAGCCCTGAAGGTCCCACAGGGTCCCCTGCAGAGGAAGAACCCAGAGGATCATTCTGAGAAATGACACCTGACAAACTCTGAAGAGCCATAGAGGAGTTGCCCCAGGAAGCCTTTGCATTGTACTCTTCATCCAACAGTAAGTCCCTGTACCCCCTTGAACACATGCCTTACAAGGCCAGAGAGTAACACAGAGTGGGCATCTCCATCAGTAATCCTGGAGAAGTATAAAGACTGCAAGCAGATCCTAGCAATGGGCATAAAGCCAGTTTGGCATTGAGCCAAAAAGGAACTGGAAGAATAAGTACAGTAATGTGAAGTAAAGGGAGTTGTTGATATGAGTAAGAGTAAATTAAAGGGTGGGGCCTTGCCAGTCTCCTAAGGAAATTATCCCACCAAACAACACTTTTGATTTAGCTATATCACACACTAATGTTAAACTGATTAGGGAATCATCTTAAGAGTAACCTCCCTACCCCATGATGAAAAATAGAGATGTGGATAAAGTTTTGCTATATTTCATTTTTACAACAAAACTAATTGAGTAACCTAGTGTAACCTTGCTAAAGCTTACATAATATAAAGTAGCTTAATTTACCTAACCTACCTTTGATTTACCTGTGACTGGCTCCAGGGGCTTTTCTACCCTTTCAGCCTTGTCTTTGGCCTGGCTTCCTTGTTGACTGCCTGTTCAACCAGACTAACTGTTAGCAGTCCACTGACACACACAGCCCTTACAGCCTGGTTGATATGAGACTTGGGGAGATAGTGATCCAGTTTAATCTTAAAGACCTTTACATTTGCTCTAGCAATATTTCTGATATTTGCTGGCAGCTGGTTGAAAAGTCTTCGGTCACCAATGTTGATGGAGTGTTTCCTTATTATTCCTATGGTGCTCCTGCTTTTCACTTGATGTAATACATTACACTTCCTCCTATAAATCTCACTCCATTTAGTTATGGTAGTATGATCTTGAACCTGGCCCTCCAGTATCTTCCAGGTACTGTACATATTATCAGGTATCCCTCTCTTCTTTGTTCCAGAATATACTGTATAATCCAAGTGCTTTGAGACATTCCCAGTAATTTAAATGCTTAGGATGCTCTAAACATTGCACTGCAAGTCTATGCCAAGAGGTATTCTCAAGTTTTCCAGAAAAGCAGCAGCAGAATAAATAAACTAAATTAATTAAAACAACCATACAACCATAATGTACCCCTACCAGAACTATCTAATAACTAAGCAACTGAAATCACTAAAAATCTAATCTCTAATCTTCTAAAAATCCACAAATGTGTATTTTAGGAAGATAAAATAAAAAGATCATTAATGTAAAGAAAGACTTCAGTGATCTAGAACCAACAGATGCTAATGAAGTATCCATCTGGTTGCTTGTAGCTGATGGTGAATAGTCTCTGATCTAGTCCCTTCAATGATGGGAAGGGGGGTGTCCCTTGCTGGTGAAGAGCTCTTGATCCAAAAAACATGAGGTACCCTCCACTTTCTTGGATAAAATTTGATTACCTTCCATTACCCAGGTGCCATATAACCCCCTATGGTTTAGTATTTTCCCAAAAAGAAAATAACAATCCAAGTTAGAGTATCCTTGTATTCTGAACTTTAATGTGATAACTGTGCTCACTTTAAACATTTTAAATTCTTATGTTTAAAATTACTGATAAATAAAACAGCTATTTGATTGTGCTAAAACCCAAATAAAGTAAAAAAATTTTAATCTACTAACAACTACTGTATATTATTGGAAAATATAGGTAGCACCATTCATAGATGCATTTATAAATTACAGTATATATAACAGGAAAAGGCAACAGAAGATAATCAAATCGTGAGCAAACCATTTAGAAAAATAAACTACTGTATGGGGTAGTAACTTGCACTTATAATATTAGGGTTTAATCAGGTATACAAGTTACAAACTGAAATCTAGGTATGCTGATCTATATTTGTTAGATGCTCATTAGAAACCAGGAATTATGAAATAATCATGACTATCATTCAGGAATCAAAGATAAAGATTACGAATCATAAGGCGACAATCAAATACTGTACCACAATTGACAATCATAAATCATAAGTGACAATCACAGGCATGGACCACTGAATGAGAAATGAGCCTCAATAGATATATTGAACTTCTAGGGTTCTCAATGATTTATCAGTAAGATACACTACCATATTAAAAGTAATTGGACAATTCTATCATTAGCTCCATCATATGCTGAAACATGGCACCATGGTAGTCTACCATGTTATATTATATTTATGAGAAGCACTAAATGCAAAGGGGGTCATACACTGCCTGGTAATCAGGATGTACTCAAGTTCAATCCATGTTGTAACAAGTTAGAAGGAGCCACACAGAACGAGGGCAAACAGATGGCTCTTATAAAGCTAGGTTAATTATTTGCTTAATTACAGGATGTCCTATACAGAAAAGGAAGAAAAGGGGCATGCTATAGATAAAAGATAATGATGGCATGAATAGTGACTGGAAACTGATAGTCAAGCCTTACAGATATCAAGGATGAAGTCAGTGACTGATACTGTTATAATATCAGGGAGTCCAGCATCAGCAGACAGCTTAATAAAATAAGGTACTGTGATAGGGTGACTAATAAGTCATTTGTAACAGCCATCAATGATGATAAAAGGTGTTGAGTATTGAGGGAGTGACGAACAACTAAGAATGGCTGTGGTACGAAAGACCTAAGGCAAGTCCACCTTACTGCATCATTACTACTGTGAGGGGCAATGGCAATATTTTAAACAGATCTCTTATGGAATTAATTCTATGAAGTGGGCTCATACCTGTATCAGTTAGACAATGTATCTTGCCACTCCATCAAGTGTATATATTAGTGGTTTACCATTAATAACACTGGTGTGAACTGGAATGCTTCAGCAGCAACAGACATAGGTAACCTCAATCTACTGCTCAAATGCTCCATGCTTTGAAGGTCTAATATACTTGAACCAGTATTTCAGAATATACAGGTAAAATCCAGGCATCATCCCAAAAAAATTTGATCAATATATTAAAATACTGTATTGTATATAGTACATACAATGAACAGGAACAGCCTTGCAGTACAAAACTGTCCAATTACTTTTAGTAAGGTAGCACACTTCAGATTAAGAAAACATTATTCAAGTCTATTGCACAGCTTTTAACAAATCTTACACACCATGAAAAAGAAGAAGTGATTTGCCCATATCAGTCTTTGAAACTTTTAACTAATGAATGCTCTGTTTAACTAACAAAGAATACTTTTTAACTACCTGTAATTGATAAAACTATCATAAAATAATCTTGTTTACAATGTATTAGCTATAATTTCACTTTAATTTTTTTTCTACTAGTATCCACAAAAATTTACTTACAGAGATCAAAGCAAATTTTTTAATGCTTCTCTTTAATATTATTGCCTAACATAATGAAGCTGATAGGACTACTAGCTATACAGAGAGGTATCAGATTTATTAAAAAAAAAAAAAAAACATTTTGCAAGCACTATGGCTGTCATGTTTGCCTTTTTTAATCTGCTGATTAGCTATGGCTTATGGGACAGGAAGAAGATCTGTAAAGTTAAAGGAAGACCTATGGCTACACATCCAGCAATTAAGACAGTCAATTTTCATTAAAATTTGTTTAATCTTATTTGCATAATCAGTGGCTTTCCATTAAGCATCAAACCCATGCCACTTATCTTTTGTAATCATTCGTAACTATTGTAAGTTGATTTGGAAACAAAGATTTGTACTTGCATCCTCTTAATAAGGCCAATTCATGTCAAGCTAACCTAAGTAACTACTAATGAAACAATATTTAAGCTAACCCAAAAAAAGCTATTATGAAAATGACTTCTATACTTGAAACATATTGAATACTGTCTCTGGTGTAGAAGTTTTCTTCTCTAAATGGATACTGTTTTTAAGATTAGATGCAATAATCACAAACAAGGAACTGAATAAATTCTTATGCTCATTAGAAAAGCAGTTATTTCAACCACTGACCAGAATGATTCTGGTACAGTGGTATACAAATGCACTAATTATTCTGTAGTACAGTATAAATAGACCCTGTTAGATGTGTAGCCAAAGTCTTAAGTTATGGGTACAGGAAGTCTATACCAGTCACATAAAAATTTTCAGTTTAATTTACTATCTCTCGATACTTACTCAAGAGTATATAAAATATCCAAAGGGACTGGCTTAAAACACCCTAAATTATTCTCGTATTTCATAGGGTAGGCAAGATATTACAACCTAGCTTGCCTACCAATCACCCAATCTTCACATCCATGACTCCCATTTGTATTATATATTTCATTTTATTAAATACCTACATAAAAAACTATAACTGGTTTACTTCAGATGAACAATGACAAGCCCGAAAAAATGCGACCATAAAATAATTATCTAGTAATAATGTAAATAAGGGAATATTCATGTGGTTATCCTGTGATATTTTATTTCCATTTTAACAAATTACTACCTACAGATAATTATTACTAAATAAAGTCTGACAAAACATATATGTAGGGATTAAATCACGAAAGCAAAATATTAGTAAATTGTATTTTGCCTTGCAAACCTATGGCAGTCACCTCACGCATCGATAAAGTAAAATTCCCACTGCCTTTTACTTGAATTCACAATTACCTATGATAAAACTTAAATACTATCCCCCAACTGCAACGAAATTTACATTATAAACCGCGAGTCGAGGGACGATTGGAATTCTAAGAAGCACATCTTCCCACAGGATTTACGCGCTTATGGGTTACCTGACGCGAATTTGCTGCCGGGGATCCTTCAATGATGTCATAAATGATTGGTGGAAGCTCCGAGCCAGCTCCTCCCAGAATAGAGAACCCAAAACCACACGTTTCACTTCGCTTCAACTTTACATATTTCATCGAGTCGGCCATCTTTCCATCTTCGTCTGCTATTACTGTTGCTTAAGACAATTTATAAAACGCCCATTTCATTTATTATTATATTCACGGGACGCGCGTCTAAAGAAATAATTAAGCCGAAATCGCTCTTGTTAGATAGTAAATTTGTTAAAATAGTAATTATTTCTTGGAAATAGTCATGCAATACGGACTCTTCTTTGACATTTCAGGACAGCCAACACTCCTGAGTATTTCACATGTAAACAAACAATAGAATTTTATCATTTACTGGAAAGTGTAGAATAAATAGTACTTCCAAACGGGAGTGTATATATATTATGTAATCAAATTTCGGATATGGTTATTAATTGCCATAAAAGGCTTAAAGTGTTATAATCCATAACATTTCAACATTACACTGGCATCCCTGGCACCGAAGTTCCCCCTCTGGGTTGAAGTAATTAAGTAGGTAAGAAAGTAAGTAAAAGCAAGCAAGTAAAGTAAAGCAAGTTTACTATATAAATTTCCTAAGCGTAATTGTTTATTTGCGGCTACAGGAGCAGAGATACGATGAGTGCCAAGGAGTACTTACTTACTTATGGCTAATATTGAGATTAGGTCCTGGTCAGAACTAGCGAACTATTTTATTTAGGATAGTTGTGGATCGTACATGTGGCGGGATAGTGCGGCAGGATAGTGTGGATCGTACATGTGGCGGGATAGTCTGGCAGAATAGTGTGGATCGTACATGTGGCGGGATAGTCTGGCAGAATAGTGTGGATCGTACATATGGCAGGATAGTGCGGCAGGATAGTGTGGATCGTACATGTGGCGGGATAGTCTGGCAGAATAGTGTGGATCGTACATGTGGCAGGATAGTGCGGATCGTACATGTGGCGGGATAGTCTGGCAGAATAGTGTGGATCGTACATGTGGCGGGATAGTTTGACAGGATAGTGTGGATCATACATGTGGCGGGATAGTTTGGCAGGATAGTGTGGATTGTACTTAGGTGTACCTAAATAAACTTATAGATCATATGTGGGTAGAATTATATGGCTCTTGCTTGGGGCAGGATAGTATGTGTGGAGTGTGGCGGGATAGTGCAGATCTTGCAGGTCTAGTTCTCATTTATTTGTGGTTGTATGGGTCGAGTCACAGCTCCTGGCCCCGGCCTATGCCTATGAGTTTTGTTGCAGCTATTAAGAAAGAGTTTTAGAGGAGGGTTGATATTTGAAATGACTGATATGTGTAGTATACACAGAAGTATGAGTTTATGCATATTCACTAAATTTAATTAATTAAACTTTGATGAAGGAGTGCGTTGCCTGGCACTAGAGAGTACTGATCGTACTTGGGGCAGGATAGTACTGATCGTACTTGGGGCAGGATAGTACTGATCGTACTTGGGGCAGGATAGTACTGATCGTACTTGGGGCAGGATAATATGGATTATACGTGGAGCAGGATTATGTGTGGGGCTTTAATTATATTTTTAACTTGTTTGGTCCTGACGTGATGCACATCCTAAAATAACTATTAATTTGGCTAATATTTCCCATATAAAAATTTCCTAATAACCATATAGATAATTTGCAAAAATAAATAATGCAGTGCTCAGGGTATATATAGCCCCATGCTTGTATTTCATAATAATATCAAATAATATAATCTTAAAATGATGATATCATTTTTACTGCATTTTACCTGAAATTTTGGGGGTCAACGTCTGGCCAGTTGTATAGGCTAATAACAGGTGATAATCTATCTGAATAAAATACGTCAATGATAGGAACTGATTTCTACAAGTACATGATACAACTTATACAGACCATAGCTGACATCAATGACATACTACTATATTGAAAGCCGCTTGTTATGCCCTGGAGAGAGAGAGAACATTTCGGGCAAATTAAGTCAATTGTCCCCAGGATGCGACCCACACTAGTGGACTAACACTCAGGTACCCACTTTGCTGATGGGGAACATGACAACCGGTGTAAAGAAACACACCCAATGTTTTCACCCTCGCCAGGAATCGAACCCGGACCCTTGCCGGGTGAAGCGAGAACTTTTACCACCGGGCCACACCCATACCCATTGTGGATTTTTTTTACATAATTTCCTTAATGTAGAACATATGAATGAATAATACAATAAATATGTAATAAAATATGACGCTGTTAGGACCCTTCGAGAAATTTTAAGTGAAGGAGAGGGTGTGGAACAGCCAGTAGGGACGCCAGAAAAGACGCAGTTTTTAATGTATGAACACTGGTTGTATTGGGAAATTCCGTCAATAATTGGGTGTTCTCGGAGGCCTAATGGGGTGTATCGGCCTCAGTTCGTAATTTAGAAATTGCTGACACGTTCCTGCTGAAGAATTGGGACAGGAAATTTGCAGGACCTCAAGAATTGCCTGGAGTTTACCTGGAGAGAGTTCCGGGGGTCAACGCCCCCGCGGCCCGGTCTGTGACCAGGCCTCCTGGTGGATCAGGATGTGGAGGACGAAAATAGTGGATTTCATTGAATCCTTTCCAACAACACACCTTAGCTAAGTGCTTACCCATAATGTACAGTAGCTTTTGCGTTGGCCATCATAAATTTTAGCTGCCAAGGGTTAGGTTTGGGTGTGTGCCATCAGCATTGTCTTCCAGTAATTAAATGGTAAGTGGAAGTACAAAGTTCTTTTTTAATAACACTAATAATTTATGTATAATAATTATATTCTGTGTTCCCAGCAAACCTAATATACAGTCCACTAAACTTAAATGTACCAGAATAGCTGGTTTTAATTTTATAATCATTAATTTAATGTCAGATCTAGCTTTCTGTGAAAGTGGGGAAGTGGGCAATCGAGGGAGTTGCAGTTCAGTGACCTATTGTGACTTAAGTCCCACTTACCTCAACCAAATTACTTGCAGGTAATAATTCGGGCAATGCCCTGTAAACCTCCTGCAGGTGATTTGCTAATAACAATAATAATAATAATAATTTTTCACAGCCATCCTGTATTCAGTAGTCAAAAGATTATGAAGGTCCATAATGGGTCCAGGGACTGGACCACAAACTTATGGCATGAACAAGTTACAGTGGTAATGAAGCATTTACGTATTTCTGGCAGCATAACTCTGATCGTATGTGTGGCAGTCGTGTGTTGCAGTGATCGTACGTGAGGCAGCGAGGCAAGACAGTGTTTACATCTGGGTCAGAAGTTGATCAGCTGATGGTGGTGTTGTCTAATTGTTTGTCTCATGAACATCTCTAATATTCTCCTTCACCTCCTCACATCTTCCTCAAGATGCTGAAGGAATATCGGATATGCATGCCAATGACTGTGGAGGAGGTTCGTTCTTTCTTTTATTATAGTTGCATTTAGGTTGAAGAACTCCAGTGAAAATTAAGTGGCATTGGTCAACTTCATCGGCTTGTAAGATCTGTATGACCCTTATGGGTTTAGCACGTTGGAATGATTATAATAATAAACTGGGTTATAATAATGAAGGAACATTGCTGTAGGCCTGTTGGCCTACGCTAAGCTGATTAAACCCACACTTACTTAGCAAGTTTATTCAGGTATACACAAATACAATTACATGGATTATCATACATAGCATGGAAATAGTCACTGATTTTTTTTGGGGTGTGGTTATCCCAGGTAATTTACACTATGATAATTGTACTTATGTGTACCTGTGTCTAAATTAATTTGCTTATAGTTGTCACTTAAGTGACTACCAGGGAGTTTGTGCAGTCCATCTTCAACCCTGTTGCCAAAACTGCTTCCCTGTATCATTTCTAAATATATTGTCCATCTCACATACATTAATGAGATTCCTGACCTAGATATTTTATGTTATTTATATCCCACTTATTTTTGCCCATTTCCCATTTATGCACTAATCCAGTACTGTGAACCTGTCTTCATAGGAGAGGTTTGTGATATACAGGAAGAACTTTATCTTTCTACACTTTTTCCAGTGCATTTTTGTTCATTCTGTAATATGGAGACCAGAATGGAGCAGCATAATTTAAATGAGACTGTACCAAACATATATAAAGTCACTAACTTTTTTTGGGTTATCTTGGGTAATTTACATTATTTAAGATGATTGCACTTGTGTACCTGTGCCTAAATAAACTTAATATCTTAGGACAGCTGTTATTGTGAACACTTACGCACTATTGTCTTGGCTTTAAATTTCTACTAACAGAACTCTCTTTTTTTGCACTTGCATTTGAAATCAGGATGAGTGGAATCAGTGGGCATGTTTCCTTACACGTTTTTGCCCCTATTCACTTAGTAGTAAGCAGGTACCTGAGCATTAGTTAACTGTTGTGGGCTGCATCCTGGGTGAAAAAATCAAAGGATCCCAGTGAAAATTTAAAAAACCATGCTGATTGGGTTTCTTGGGGTTATGCTAACCCTCAGGATTAATAACCAGAATAAACTCTTCAATGCTGCAGTGGTAGGGTCAGCTGAAAAGATACTACGGAGCTTCTTGCAAAAGGAGGTAGTGAGTGCTACAACTAATGGAATTTATAAAAATTATATGATAAATACTGAAGAATGAACACTATGAGCATAGCTTATGTTATTTTACTCTCCATCATTTTGCACAATATTGAAATGCCAGAAGCTGGATAAAGGCTGAGAAGATTCGTAAATTAAGGAGGGTAAACTTTGGAAAACAGTCTTCATGGGCAAATACAGCTTTCTGCTTGATCTATGAATTAGTATTTAGAAACCTGCACTCATCTTGGGAAGATGAGTTACTTGTACACTAGTACAGCGTATCTTTGGACTTTTAGGTGAAGACACTTTGCTATCATGCCAGAGTTCAATTTTGGTCTAATTTATATAAAGATAGTTTTCTTATCATATTGCTATTCATATATCTGAAGACTATTTACCTTATGTCATAGTTATTCATTGTAGCACTTAGTTTCCATTACAGTAGGTATTACTAAAATTATCTCAGCAAATGTTCAAGAAGTATGGGTTTTTATTATCAGGCATTTAAGGTGACTGTTCTCTCATTCAGATGACTCACGAAATTATAATGACATGATTGCAAACAAACCGTACCACAGGGAGGAACTGAACTTGTGGCGAGTGAGTCGTGAAGCTCCAAGCCAGCACATAAGCCACTGGGCCTGCTGGCTACAATAAGATTCATCCAGCTTGATATATTTATACACCATAGAGAGGTTAGCACAGGCCCCACTGAGACCACAAGTTTAATCCCCACCCATGGTATGGTTTCTGTCATTTATTTACAGTTTCAATAATTGGGATGGAAGGTTTATTGAGTTTACTAAAATAATTTCTCTAACCTTGGTCAGTTTACATGATTCCAGGATTTGGGAACCTGTTGGTATAGTAGAGTTGTTTGGATTTCTATAATAGTTTAGTGTGGTAATGTTTTTGCTATTTCTTTGGAGATATGGTCTAATCTGTACTTTTTTTCATAATTATGTATCTTGTCAATGGATTTTAAGGATACTGTTTATTAACTATGGACTCAATCACAAGCACACTCAACTCATTCACTGAGGTCCGGGGATCAATTCCCTGGTATGGAGGATCGATACCCAGGTACCCGTTTGACTGACTCGTCAGTCAGATGGGTACCTGGGTATTAGTCAACCGGTGTGGGTCACATCCTGGGGCAAAATTGACCTACTTTGTCTGGAATGCTTTGCATTGTTAACAAGGGGGATTTCTGTATATAGTAGTATGTCATTGATGTCAGCTAGGCCTGTATACCTTGTACATGTACTTATATAGATATTATATAATTATTATTATTACTTTGAATTTTTTGTGGGGATGTAAGAACATTTGTGTTAAACGTAGTCGTTGGTAAATTTTCTTTGCCAAGCCACTTCTCTGATTGCTATAATAAAGTGGTCACTGACAAATTCCCTCTTCCAGTCAATTCCAGTGATTGGTAATATAAAGTTATTTACTAATGTTTCAATGAGTCTGAATGGGATTTCATTTGTTTCTAGTGGTGATTTTATATTAGTAATGAAGAAAGCAGGGTAATGATTAGTTGTCCTGTTGTTGATGCCTGCTTTCTGAGAAGATATTACAGTATATTATTCCAGATGTTGTCTAGTGGGGATACAGTTATCTCTGTAATTCTCATAGGTTTGGTTATTAATGATATTTATAATTATTATTATCATTTCATTCATGAGGAAGTTCTAAACCTGTAGGGGTCATACAGCCCCTGGGGGAATGGAAGGCATTGAGACTCAACTCAAGGAGTTGGAGCACAGGTCTAATTCCTTAAATCAAGAACCTTTCACCAGCATGGTATTTTTAAGTAATTGTACATTCTGTTTAGGAAACTCTGCATGTGTATCTTCTGAGTAGAAGAGGGTGATGCTAAATGTCTAGCAGTTATTGAGTGATGTTTATTGTTTATAATTAAATCTTAAAGATACTGTATTACCAAAGCTTATATAGTTTGTGGTAATCTGTAAGCTGGTAATGTTGTGACTGGGGTCATCAAGATTTTGGTAGTAAATTGTACATATATGTATTCACCATTTTATCCAACATTTTTCTAAATCTGTGGTGTAGGTCAACTTTGTGAAAATTATATAATGAGTTTGGCTTCATTTTAGTGTATTATGCTTTACACCTTTCAAGGGATGGGCTCAAAGGGCTCTTGATTCAAGGAACTCCCCAAGGGAGGAGAGAGGAAGGGAGGGAAGGGTAGTGTTGTATAGTAAATATCTGGTATAGATGATGAATAAAACATATTCAGTACTGCACTAACTTTTTTTTTTTGAATCTTTAGCTTTGGTTACCTGTATCCATTGAGTACAGTAGTTGCAAAACTATTTTATAAAACTTGATGACCATTTCAGTACCACATTGGGCAGCTTTACATGATTGCTCGTCACAGCTCAGAGCAGAGTGATGGAGGAGAGGGAGTTGAAGTAATTGAAAATAATGCATACACCGACCCTCTGTGTGGTCCTGGACAATTTACTGAGAAGAGGATTCATTTATCAGGGTATGTAGTTCATATTCTGTCTAGACTAGATGGTATATAATTACCTAGCTATTTATAATTATGTACAGTATGTATGCTCGTGGTGTCCCATCTTCTGTAATATTTTTAGCATATAATTTTTAAAAATTACCGTTAGCTGTAATGCTTACTACCTCTTATTTTAATTTATTCCATTATTCCATCACTATGCTAAGAAAAATTATGTAGCATCCCTTCATTGCAATTTCGTTTTTTCTTTCCAACACCTTTCATTAACCCAGTTTCTATTATTTATTCCCCTTTTTCTGGAATAATTCCATATTTATATATGTTGCAGGACTCACTGTTTAAATTATGGTATTCATACTTTTATCTGACTTTTGTAATATTATATTCCTAATGGTATCAAACATGCTGACCTAAAAGTTAAGAACAAAACTAACAACAAAATAATTTACTAACAAAAATTCAGGATAATTTCGAACCTTCTTGACTCTCACCCTTCCATAAATCATTAATATTACAATCCATACCTTTAACACAATCAAAATAATGTATGTCTTAGATAATCAGGCCCTATCATATAACCCAAACAAAAAAAAAAAAAATTATGATTCAATCTCAGTGCCACAAAACACATAAGTAAACCTACCTGTACTAGCCCTCAACTCATCACAAATCTTATCAATATCAAATTAAATACCAAAAACTTTAACATAACCATAATTCCAAATCTAATAAAATAATAACTTCCATGAGAACGAACAACAGAAACTAATAAAGATAACCCTAAAGTATTGTATTTTTCTATCTGGAGTCTGTCCTTATTTAATCTCTTATTAATGTTTATGAATCACATATTTTATTTTTTACCAAATCTTCCTTTGATTGTGTCATTATAGCTTCCAGATTCTTTGAGAATCCTTCAACAGTCTCATTTTCCTTACTCAGTTTTTGTGTCAGTCCTTCCCACATTACCTGATTGTTTCAGTTTGACACTTTGTCCATCCATCCACTCATTTTCTCTTTTGGTGTGAAAGTACAACCATGTTCAGACCTTGTGTTCTCTGCCATATTGTAAACAAATAGCTTTTGATTTTTCTAATTTTCTATCTCAGAATTCATGTAAAGTTTTCTTACCTCGATTATATATCTTCAAGTTAATTTTACCTTTATATAGTACCGTATATTCTGTGACACTACTCGCATGTATTGCTCTGCTTCCTTCACAACAGAAAGACAGAAATGTCTGTCTTTCTCAAAGCTGTGATGGCTGATATCCTCTGTAATGTTGCCAGGCTACTCACTTTTAAACTTAAATTTTCTCTTTACTCACTTGTTTCTATCCAAGTCTCTGTTCTCATATTGATCGTGACTTCTTTTTATAACATGTTAATCAGTTCCTTTCTTCATTTCCTGTTTCTCCCTAAATATGATAAAAATACTTATAGCTTGTTCAGGGTAGTATGATTTCCTCTGCTAGATAAGATGTTTAATATTCTTGGAAAGTGATGCTGGTGGATATCTTTATCTTTATCTTTATCTTCTATTATACTGTAATGAATTTTGTTTCCTTGGATCAAACCTGATTGCCTCCCATTTCGTAGGTGCTGGATGAGATGTAGAGGTTTAGCGTTTCCCCATGAATATACGATACGTGCATTACATATTTGTTTTTTCAATACGTCGGCTGTCTCCCACTGTGCTGTTGCATGTTAGTTCTACTAGCAGTAATGTACTTAAGTAATTAACTATAAATTCTAATTTAATAAAGGAGGTAATGCTAAACAAGTATAGCTATTAGAATTGTGGTTAAGTGCTTTAAAGTAACTAATCAGAAATTTCTTCAAGGTAGACACTTTTAATTCTAGTCAGTGGCTCTGGGTTTGAAGAATTAAAGCTACCCTCTTTCTCAGTTTGAACCTGATTACCTCCCATTCTTCAGGCACTGTATGACAGACTTTGCATTAAAAAGTTATAATAATAATAATAATAATCTGGGAATGAAGCAGGTTGGTAGACAGAAACCATTTGATGAGGTACATTATTACTTTTCTGTCATGTGAGTATGAAATAGAAGTATGTTAAATATTTTGCACTCTGGCGGATTGCATTTTTCTTTTTTTCTCATAAGCATGTGAGTCAACAGGCAAGTCATATAAGCCTTTCCTACTAAATGGTGCTTATTGTGATCCAACCTGGTCACATTCATATATCTTAACAAAGGGTGGAGATAATAACTTTGGCTCTCTTACTCAACTTCATTCACTAATACTCTATGTTTTGCAGGAAACTACCACCTTGGATTCGGTCTTATATTCCTCGCTTCATATATCTTACAGAGAAAGCATGGAATTACTATCCATATACAGAAACAGGTACAGATGGGCTTTTTTTTTTTATTTTAAGTAGGCAGTTAAAACAACCCTAAATTAGAATGAACATTTAAGAATTAAATATAATTTCAAGATGTTAATAAATTGTATGTAACTTGAATTTTGTTTAAATGCTAAAGAAGTAAAATAAAGTGGGAAGTTTCCTGAGGAAATGTGACAATATAGATAAAATAATTCAACTATGATGAATAGGTAATTCTAAATGAGATTAAGGTAATTATTTTTGTAATCCAAAGAAAATTATTACAGAGGAGAACACTTCATGATATTCATTGACAGTTTTTTATTGTATGTTCAGAGTTATTAGTGAAATTATTACATTTTAAGCAATTCTTCCATATCAGTAAGTGGGTACATGTACTTGTATTCTCTAGAGCAAGGGTTTTCAGACTTCTGAAATCCAAGGAATATCCTTTTGTTAAAAAGTAATTTGCTTGAACCTTATCCAAGAAAAGCACGATTCACTTTCTCTTTAACATGGAAGTTGACACTACATACAGGACACCCAAATAAAACCTTTTATGCAATTATTCACTATGATTTTATATTACAGTCATCATTAAACACCAAATTTTTTAAGAAAACTGAGAAATCTGTATACTTTATTTTTAGTACTTTATAGCCTAGCTTAAAAAAATAAAAAGACATCATTATTGTTGTTTAATTTTGGGGTATGAAAAGCAAAACACATTTAAACAAATTAATAAACATTATTGCTATCATAACTTTTGTGAGGAGGAGGCTGGAGGCAGTAATATCATGTTTGGGAGCCCTGAGTGTTGTGAATATTATAGAATTAGTAGCACTGAAATTAAAAGTCTGTAGTCTGTATAATTCCAAGAGTGGAGAAGGGGTTGTTGCACTGGTTTGGCAATTTAGAAAGGATGGCACAGAATAGAATGACAGAGAGGATGTATAACTATGGGGAGGAGGAGTAGCAGTCTTTCCACAAAGGGTTAGAGGGAGGGGGTGAAGAAGATTTTAAGTGATAGAGGATTGAGTGTCCAGCATGCTTGTATAGGTATATTTGATTGGAGTAAGTGTAAATTAGTAATTTTTAGGGTTTGATGTACTGTTGGAGTGTGAGCAAAGTACAATATAATTATGAGGGGATTCAGGGAAACTGGTTAGTTAGCTTTGAGTCTGGAGATGAGAAGTACAAGTTCCTGAACTATGCACAAGGATTCTGAATGAGGGTTGTTCAAACTGTTCATGTTCACACACATCTGGCAAAACATGTATTGAATAAATGATGGTGAATGTGTTTCCATGTTGGGGTTCACTCTGTCTAGGCGAGATGGTTGATGTGGTAAAAAAAAATGTAAGCTAAGAGAACTACAATAAACCAGACCATGTAGTGTTTGATTATTAGCTTTGTGCTGAAAAGACACACTCCTGTTTTTTTACTCTGACTGCATGGTGAAAGCACATATTAAATATTGATAGAGTTGACAGTTCTTTCTAGACGTTTCTGAATATTTGAGATTTTATTATTCACATTGTTAGGTAAGACACATATGCAACCTCAAAACTTTAAGGGTGATGGACTGATTACATCGTCTTCAAGTATCTTCTGCTTCTATCAACTTTTCTGTACTCGACTGAAGAAGCCTACTGTGTAGGCGAAACGTTTCGAAATAAAGATACCTAACTGTTGCATATGTGTCTTACCTAACAATCTGTCGGTATTTTATACCATTTTAATGTTCATTATTCACATTAAAATATTATAAATGTATTTCAAAGATCCTCAACCCAGACTTTTCTCTATATTTCCAGTCATTTTTATTGAAAAGTTAAAACAAATAGTGGAACAAAGATGGTAAATTCATCTTTCCTCACTCTCACCAGCTTGTGCAAAAGGGCTGTTTGAAAACCCTTGCTCTGGAGTGTACTTCATTTATAAAGAGAATTTTTTTTTTACAGCATATGCATATAATTTTTTTTATTTATTTTTGCATGTGGCGTGTTGCGGCCCAACAGAATATACAGTGAGTACATTATCTACTATTTCTGATTGGCCTGCTGGTGGGGTAGTATTCAAAACAACTTTTAGAAGATTACAGTTAGCTCTTTCCTAGAAAATTACTGTACTGAACATGATTTTTTTCATTGTGAGATATTGTTCTTTACATGACTCACGAAATCGTAATGACACGATTGCAAACAAACCATACCCCGGCCGGGATTGAACCCGCGGTCACAGAGCCTCAAAACTCCAGACCGTCGCGTTTCCCCAGCCGGGGTATGGTTTGTTCTTTACATGTATAGTTATTTGTGTATTACAGTTTGGGTTTGCTTCAAGACACTGTGGTACGAAAAGAAGCGCAGTTCCGGTACTCTATTATATTGACTAAAGGATTGAGGGCAAGGCTTTAAGGCCTGCCAATAAGAGTGCACCACAGGACTATAAAGATTGTGTAACATGGGAAGAATTAACCCAGAAAAAATTCTCATGAGAATTTGCTTAAAGATGTAAAATAGCCAAGTTGTTTAAAACTCTTGTTAAGAGTGAGCAAGAGAGTCATGCCTGCTTAAAATTTATGAAAGCAATATCATCATTTAGAATTTTTCAAATATTTTCCTTGTTGAGCACACTTAAGGTGTGAACAAGTTTAGAGGTGCCTTATGTAAGACATTGTATTTATGAGTTCCTTATGTTATAAAGAAAACATGCACCAGCAATATGTTACAAAATTTTTGTGTTTCAAAAACTTTACACAGGCCTCTTTTTTAACAGAACTGTACAGTAAGGAATCACTTGGCTTTGGTATCTTGTTTATCTTTTGAAATAAGTAAGTTTCTTTGGTGCAAGGCATAGTCCTATGATGACCTCATTGGAGCTTTTGGTCATTTGACCAATTAATTTCACTGACTTTCTAGTCCACCCTGTAAGGAAAAAAAAAAAATCTTCAGAGATAATATTTGCTTTGTTTCTGTGCATCACTTAAAAAGGAAAGAACATTTCTTCATGAGTTAAGATAAGAGATAAGATTTCGTTCGGATTTTTAACCCCGGAGGGTTAGCCACCCAGGATAACCCAAGAAAGTCAGTGCGTCATCTAGGACTGTCTAACTTATTTCCATTGGGGTCCTTAATCTTGTCCCCCAGGATGCGACCCACACCAGTCGACTAACACCAGTACCTATTTGCTCTAGGTGAACAGACAAATAGGTGTAAGGAAAACGTTTTCGAATTTCACCCGCCGGGAATTGAACCCGGGCCCTCCGTGTGTGAAGCGGGAGCTTTAGCCACCAGACCACCGGGCCGCACAGTACAATAAAGTTGCAAGTAAGGCAGTAGTTGCACTCCCTTAACCCTTAACCCTTAAACGGTCCAAACAAATCAACGTTCAAATTCGTACTGCTACAAAAGTAGATCTACTTTCTTTAACATATTTTCAAATGTAACAAAAAAATGTAAATAAAAGTTTTTTTTTACACGTTTTTAAATGTAAAACAAAAAAGATCTACATTTTTTTACATACTTTCAGATGTTGAAAAAACGTATATATACGTTTGGACCATTTAAGGGTTAAACTGTCCAAACGTAGATCTACATTTTTTCAACATTTGAAAGTATGTAAAAAAAAGTAGATCTTTTTTTTTTACATTTGAAAGCGTGTAAAAAAAACTTTGACCTGCGTTTTTTTTTTTTTTTTTTTTTTGAAAATATGTAAAAAAAATGTAGATCTACTTTTGGAGCACTACACATGTGAACGTAGATCTGTTTGGACAGTTTAAGGGTTAAATGGTATGTTACACAGAATCATGTTAAGTGGACTGAAGAACATGTAGAAAAAATGATTACACTCCTGACACTTAAAAAACCAGCTAAATCAGTTTTTTAGGTCTTATAATTCTTAAAAATTATTAATGTTTTTACAGCTTACATTATAATTGTATGTGGTGAAGTGTACATAATTAGAATACAGTACATATAACTGAAAAAGGTTATGTAAAAAAAAAAATTGTCATAAATTGTGGTTGCTGGTGCATATTAATAGAGATTGTTTATATCAAGAATGAGATTAGGTCATCCTATAAAAACAATGGGTAACTACCGCATGGAAGGGAAAGGTTCTGCGGGATGACATATTTTCCAAACAAATTACAGCATGCTGTAATATGAAATTTGGCATAAAATTTTGGTAGTGTTATATTGAAAACATTGTTTGGATGCAGATCTTCAGATTCCCTTTCTTGTACAATATCCTCTTTCTTTCAAAATGTTGCAATATAGGAATTTTGTTGTATTGAATATTGACTTGATGAATACAGTCCAGTATTAATACTAGCATATTAATTTATTGTTAATATGTAGTCATTCCTTTTGCAGTGCTCCATTATTCCACGGTTTAATATCAAAATACGCACACGATATGAAAATAATAATGGATCCTCAGAAAATGTAAGTAATTTTATGGTTCCTTTTTTGTGCTGTAACTCTGATCATTATCTTTATATTAAAATTAACAAATAATTATGGTCTGTTTCTGTATATTTCTAGACATTATGTAACGTCTTCTTCCTTACAGTGCAAACGTCAAGTATTCTGCACATTCTTGCAGTGATGATCAGTTGTGAAATAATTTTTTACAGGATAAATGTGGAATTATTCTATTGATCCAGTGTGCAACTGTACATATCAAATGCAAAATATATTGTGAAAGAGAAGGAAAAAAAAAAAAGAGAGCTTCTTCGAAGTTCCTGTGGATGGATGTGTACCTTTGTAATACAGATTCAAACAACTTACACATAACAATGTTAAATAGGGAAATGTACACTGATAACTTTTATACTGTGCCATTTTCAGTCTTGTGAAAAAAGAAAAGTTCTAGCAAGAAATATTTAGCTCTGTACTTTAAATTTCCTAGTAAGGTAGATTAATACTCAACAAATAGTCATCCATATCTTGTATAATTCCTTTTACCAGTGATAACTGAAGTATAAGAGGGTGGAACATGGGTGTAATTATTTTTGACTTTTTATCTGAGGAAAAAGCCATGAACTATTCATTATCTCAAACAAGGACATTCTCAAGTCAAAAGTAATCATTAACCTCATCCTTCTCTCTTAGTTTTCTAATCCCCATTCTTCACTTCTTTCTCCTCCTTCCTAGAATTTTTTTTGCTTTTCTTTTGCTGCTTCTCTGCCTAAACAGTTCTTGGTGGTCACATAAGTGTAAATGTAGTGTAAGAACATGTACAACTGTGCCTGTGTTTAAAGTGATTGGAGTGTCGTGATCTTCTCCATTCTTATCTTCCTTCCTCCCACACCTTTTGCCATTTTTGCTTGGACACTAGTCAGCCATAGCCTTCCACAAGGGTGTGTTTTTCAGATTTTTTTTTTTTAAGCTTTTTACTTATTATTATTATTACTGGTATTCATTATTATTAATCTTACTTATATTTTTCTTCTTATTCTTTGTGAGTTTAATATTAAATTTTTGAGTCACTGTTTCAGTGCCTCAATATAAAAGAAGAGGAGTTGAAGCAGCGGATAGTTGACCATGTGGACATACTTACTGATCCAGTTGATGAGAGGCACTACAAAAAAGAAGAGGTTTGTTTGTTTATTTTACCATATTTTTTTTTCTGACAAGTCGGTTGTCTCCCACCGAGGCAGGGTGACCCAAAAAGAAAGAAAATCCCCAAAAAAGAAAGTACTTTTTAGCAGGCTATTCGGGAAAAGGGGTTACTAGCCCATTTTTCCTGGCATTTTAGTTGACTTTTACAACACACATTCTCATTCCACTTCCCCTTGGATATGAAAGGAAAAGCAATAAGAACAAGAACTATTAAGATAAAATCAAAGAAAACTCAGATGAGTGTGTATACATAAACGTGTGTACATGTATGTGTAGTGTGACCTAAGTGTAAGCAGAAGTAGGAAGACATACCTGAAATCTTGCATGTTTATGAGACAGAAAAAAAGACACCAGCAATCCTACCATCATGTAAGACAATTACAGGCTTTTGTTTTACACTCACTTGGCAGGATGGTAGTACCTCCCTGGGTGGTTGCTGTCTACCAACCTACTACTACTAAATGTATAGCAAAAAAAGTTGTGTATACACTGTCTCTTATTTGGAATTTTACACTTTAAATTTTACATGAATGATACTTCCTGCAATAGAAAATTTATTAGTCATCACATCGGATGAGAAAGTAGTTTCGACATTGCTTATGTGAATGAGCCAGACAGTCCAGCAGCTCCACAGAGATCTGCAGGCAGGTACCTGCTGCCTCTTACACAAAATAATCTATCAGCCTTACAGTATCAAAGAACTGGAAATAAGATACCTAGCAGAGTTCCTGACTAATTTGGCCAAAAAATTCACACTAGTGGACTGGTAATCTTGTTGAAGAGACATTCAAATTCAGTTTTTTTTTTATTTGCAAAGTTTACAATGTGTGATTGACATGTTATAAGGAGTCTGTCTGTTTATACTTTTTGTTAAATACAGTAATTTAAATAATAATCGGTTTATGTTTAGCTATGAAATCAACACATGGGTAGCACATGTCTTAATGAGGAAGGATATTCATAATTTTCCTAGGTAGCAGGTTGGTAAACAGCAACCACCCAGGGAGGTACTACCGTCCTGCCAAGTGAGTGTACAACAAAAGCCTGTAATTGTTTTGCATGATGTTAGGATTGCTGGTGTCTTTTGTCTGTCTCATAAACATGCAAGATTTCAGGAACATCTTGCTACTTCTACTTGCACTTAGGTCACACTACATATACATGTACAAGCAGGTATACAGGGAGGTATACCATCTTTTAGGGGTGAAGAAGAGCAGAATGTAAGTGTGGTGGAGGTACGTGAGGCATTACGTAGAATGAAAGGGGGTAAAGCAGCTGGAACTGATGGGATCATGACAGAAATGTTAAAAGCAGGGGGGGATATAGTGTTGGAGTGGTTGGTATTTTTGTTTAATAAATGTATGAAAGAGGGGAAGGTACCTAGGGATTGGCGGAGAGCATGTATAATCCCTTTATATAAAGGGAAAGGGGACAAAAGAGATTGTAAAAATTATAGAGGAATAAGTTTACTGAGTATACCAGGAAAAGTATACGGTAGGGTTATAATTGAAAGAATTAGAGGTAAGACAGAATGTAGGATTGCGGATGAGCAGGGAGGCTTCAGAGTGGGTAGGGGATGTGTAGATCAAGTGTTTACATTGAAGCATATATGTGAACAGTATTCAGATAAAGGTAGGGAAGTTTTTATTGCATTTATGGATTTAGAAAAGGCATGTGATAGAGTGGATAGAGGAGCAATGTGGCAGATGTTGCAAGTATATGGAATAGGTGGTAAGTTACTAAATGCTGTTAAGAGTTTTTATGAGGATAGTGAGGCTCAGGTTAGGGTGTGTAGAAGAGAGGGAGAATACTTCCCGGTAAAAGTAGGTCTTAGACAGGGATGTGTAATGTCACCATGGTTGTTTAATATATTTATAGATGAGGTTGTAAAAGAAGTAAATGCTAGGGTGTTCGGGAGAAGGGTGGGATTAAATTATGGGGAATCAAATTCAAAATGGGAATTGACACAGTTACTTTTTGCTGATGATACTGTGCTTATAGGAGATTCTAAAGAAAAATTGCAAAGGTTAGTGGATGAGTTTGGGAATGTGTGTAAAGGTAGAAAGTTGAAAGTGAACATAGAAAAGAGTAAGGTGATGAGGGTATCAAATGATTTAGATAAAGAAAAATTGGATATCAAATTGGGGAGGAATATGGAAGAAGTGAATGTTTTCAGATACTTGGGAGCTGACGTGTTGGCGGATGGATTTATGAAGGATGAGGTTAATCATAGAATTGATGAGGGAAAAAAGGTGAGTGGTGCGTTGAGGTGTACATGGAGTCAAAAAATGCTATCTATGGAGGCAAAGAAGGGAATGTATGAAAGTATAGTGGTACCAACACTCTTATATGGATGTGAAGCTTGGGTGGTAAATGCAGCAGCGAGGAGATGGTTGGAGGCAGTGGAGATGTCCTGTCTAAGGGCAATGTGTGGTGTAAATATTATGCAGAAAATTCGGAGTGTGGAAATTAGGAGAAGGTGTGGAGTTAATAAAAGCATTGGTCAGAGGGCAGAAGAGGGGTTGTTGATGTGGTTTGGTCATTTAGAGAGAATGGATCAAAGTAGAATGACATGGAAAGCATATAAATCTATAGGGGAAGGAAGGAGGGGTAGGGGTCGTCCTCGAAAGGGTTGGAGAGAGGGGGTAAAGGAGGTTTTGTGGGCGAGGGGCTTGGACTTCCAGCAAGCGTGCGTGAGCGTGTTAGATAGGAGTGAATGGAGACGAATGATACTTGGGACCTGACGATCTGTTGGAGTGTGAGCAGGGTAATATTTAGTGAAGGGATTCAACAAGCCGGCCGTCTCACACACACCCCTCTGGGTTTTCTTCTATTTTCTTTCTAGTTCTTGTTCTTGTTTATTTCCTCTTACCTCCATGGGGAAGTGGAACAGAATTCTTCCTCTGTAAGCCACGCATGTTGTAAGAGGTGACTAAAATGCTGGGAGCAAGGGGCTAGTAACCCCTTCTCCTGTATATATTACTAAATGTAAAAGGAGAAACTTTTGTTTTTTCTTTTGGGCCACCCCGCCTCGGTGGGATACGGCCGGTGTGTTGAAAGAAAGAAGATATATATATACACACATACCTCTGGGTTTTCTTCTATTTTCTTTCTAGTTCTTGCTCTTGTTTATTTCCTCTTACCTCCATGGGGAAGTGGAACAGAATTCTTCCTCCGTAACCCACGGATGTTGTAAGAGGCGACTAAAATGCTGGGAGCAAGGGGCTAGTAACCCCTTCTCCTGTATATATTACTAAATGTAAAAGGAGAAACTTTCGTTTTTCCTTTTGGGCCACCCTGCCTCGGTGGGATACGGCTGGTGTGTTGAAAGAAAGGAAGATTCACAATTTTCCACCGAGGAAGAGTGACCCAAGAATGAAACACTTTCACGATCATTCACCCATAATCACTGTCTTTGCAGAGGTACTCAGATATGAAAGTTCAGATGTCACTCCAAACAGCAAATATCCCAAACCCCTTCTTTACAATGCAGGCATTGTACTTCCCACCTCCAGGACTCAGGTCCAGCTAACTGGTTTCCCTATATCTTTTCACAAAATATTATCCTGCTCACACTCCAACAGCTCATCAGGTCCCAGAAACCATTCATCTTCATTCACTCCTATCCAACATGCTCACACATGCCTGCTGTATGTCATCATATGGTTAATAATATGATAACCTACAAAAAATAATGAAATACTTGCATCTTAAGAAAAATCTTGCTCCGTCATTGTTCGTTGTTTATCATTCAGTTTTATTGAAATGGCTTATGTTTATGCTGAAATGATAATCAAATAAAATACAGTTGAGAAAATAGAAATTATTTTAACCCTTTCAGGGTCCGTGCCGTAGATCTACGGCTTTACGTTCAGGGTCCAAACCGTAGATCTACGCCATGAGCTCAGCTTACTCTGATAAGCTGTGAGTGGTAAATTTGGGCCTAGATATGAAAGAATACATCTATGTGGTATGTGTGCACCACATAAAACAAATCCTGCAGCACACAGTGTATAATGAGAAAAAAAACTGAGACCGTGATTTTCAATTAAAACAGCGACTTTGCAGTGTTTTTTCGTATGTGTTTTATAGTTGTATTTGTGATTTCTTGGTCTCTTTTGATAGAATGGAAGATATATTACAGAAATAGAGATTATTTTGATTGGTTTTAGCACTGGAAATGGCTTGAAACTGAGCTCAAAGTAGCGGAAATGTTAAATTTTTGTCGATGTTCAAAAGTAAACAAACGACCTCACTCGTCTAATACATTCCAGCTGGTGGGTCTAATATACATTCACAAATGTGGTGATGATATTTATACAATTATTACAATATTGCATAACAGTAAATCTTCTATTTTTTTGGTTTGAATAAAAATTCATTATGTGAATAAAAAATCAAAATGGAATTCATTTGTAAAGTCTCAAAACATAACTAATGAACAGAGGAAATGTTAGTTTAGTGCCAGGAATGTCTGCATTGTTTATTCTGGACCCTATTTTGAATTTGGAATATTTTGAACTTTGTGTTAAATTGGCCAAATTACCAATTTCCGATCACATTATTTTGTAGTTGAAACAGTTGACTGGGCGATTTATTGTGCTCATTCGATAGAATAGAAGTAATACTAGTGAAATGGCTAAGAATTTGGTCGACTGGAATAATGTAATTGGCCTAAAATGGGAGTCAAAGTCGGCAAAATCGCCGATTCGTAAATATCGCTGACACAGCATAATTTTGTCAATTTTCCATCAAATTTCGTACTTTTTGTTTTATTACCTTCAGAAAAAGATTCTCTACCATTTCATAAGAAAAAAATAACAAATTTTTTTTGAAAATTCTTGGACCCTGGTGTGCACTTTGAAATTTGGCCTCTGGACCCTGAAAGGGTTAAAAATAATAGATTAGTAAAGAATTAAAAGGCACAATGCCGTGGCTGGAACAATATATAAATAACCCGCACATAGGAGGCTGAAACTTGTGATGACATTTCTGTCCAACTTGGACCATTAACTAGTTAGAGAGAGGCACAAAGTGAAGGGATCCAGGATGTATACTAGAGGGGGACAGGACAGGAGGTGGGAATAATATGCAGTAGTAAGAATGGTAGTGGTGGTGATAGTAGTAGTGCTACAGTAATAAGATGTGGTAAAAAAAAGTAGTAGCATTAGTGAAAATGGGGACAGAGTGGAGTGTTAGAAGAAGAAATGGTGGTGGTAGTAGTAGTAGTAGCAGTATCAGTGAAGGTAATCTTTTTTTTTTATTATTATTATCACACTGGCCGATTCCCACCAAGGCAGGGTGGCCCGAAAAAGAAAAACTTTCACCATCATTCACTCCATCACTGTCTTGCCAGAAGGGTGCTTTACACTACAGTTTTTAAACTGCAACATTAACACCCCTCCTTCAGAGTGCAGGCACTGCACTTCCCATCTCCAGGACTCAAGTCCGGCCTGCCGGTTTCCCTGAACCCCTTCATAAATGTTACTTTGCTCACACTCCAACAGCACGTCAAGTATTAAAAACCATTTGTCTCCATACATTCCAGGTAATCTGTAGAAACAAAAGAACAGAGAGCTAATGGCCCATGGAGGTAGGACAAAATCCCTATGGGACAAAACACCCATAGGACAGAACCCACCTAGGCAGAAAACAGGAAAGGTAATGAAAATATAGGAAAGGCAAGGGGGTAAGGAGAGGAGATGATAAAGATCAGGTCATGAGTGTTTGGAACTTTGGAGAATTTCACAATGTCCTGTGGGGGGTTTTGTCTTACCCCTGTAGGCCATTAGCTCTCCTGCAGTGCTTTTCTGTTGTCTTGTTTTTATAGACTGCCTCCACTATTACTTTTGCACCTACTATTTGTTTATTAAGACTCCACTCACTGCCCATTTTTTTTCAAATGTGCTACTACTTTCTTATTGCCACCCTCATCACTGTTGCACCATCACTGCCACTGCCACTAATACTAAAACTACAGTAGCTTGATTGTAGACTAGTTGTGATGAAAATTGTATTCTCATCTGTAATCCCCTAACTTTATTATATTTATGAATTGCAGGACCTTTCTGCCTTCAAGTCAAAGAAAACTGGCCGTGGCCCTTTGAAACAAGGATGGCGTGATTGTTCAGATATCATCATGTGTTCTTATAAGCTTGTTGATGTTTCATTTCAAGTATTTGGACTTCAAACTAAAATTGAAGAATTTGCCCAAAGAGTAAGTGGATGGTTTTTATGTTTCTTGTCCTGTCAGATAGTTTGAAAATGTTACAAGTAAATTCAGTAACTAAAGTGATGTACACTATATCTTTGTCACTGTGACACAGTTGGTAAGGTAGCCTATGTTTTGTGATGGAACTTTCCAATTTTTGTGGCAAGTTGGAAATGGAGAACAACAAAAAAAACATAGATAGGCTTAAAACAGTAGAGAAATTATAAATTTATGGTAATGAGGGTGTAGTAATGTGAAATGTTTTGGAAATGGCTTATGGATATTTTCCTTGCTATATGTGTAATGCCTTCTTTAACATGGGAGACAAAAATAATTATAGGAGGCTGCAGTAGCTTTCTTAAAGAAAATAATATAGTGCTGTTCCCAGTTTTAAAAAAAGGCATCGAGGTCAATAGGCGGTTAATATAGGTTACATGGTTTTTAAGTCATCATAGGACTGTAAATTAACATACCCTCTTATATCTGTTCACTTATAACTTTGTCACATACTCGACACTGTTTTATATTACAGTTTTGTATTCCGTATGAATTTCAGGCCATTCGAAGCATTTTACTTGTTGGTCACAGACAGGCATTTGCATGGATAGATGACTGGTATGGCATGACCATACAAGATGTCAGAGACTATGAATGTGGAATGCAGAAAGAAACTAATGAAAAGATTCGCTCTGCTCAACAGGTACGAAATTGTTGTACTCTTGTCAGCTGTTATGTAAGGCTGATCATTCACTTAATATTGTGCAGATGGAAGTTAGAAACTTGCTCAATCTGTCTGTATTTTATATGTATTTTCCTCATTGAACAGTATTTTTATTACATTTACAAATACATGTGAGTGGTTTCTTGATCTCTTGCACATATGGACATCCTCCTGTAACATTTCCATTCATTTAGTCTGCAGGTATAGGGAGTGCAGAGCCTGATAACTTGAAGAAAGAGGAAGATGAGGAAGAAACTGAAGACAAAGATCCAAGCATCTCTAAAAGAAAAGAATTGCTAAAGAAAGAAAACTCATCTTCATCTCTTGGTACAAACTCCAATTCTCCTGTCACACCAGAGAAAACAAGTTATCTTTCCACTTGGTTTAAGTGGTCTTAGAATCATTTTTTAAATGTACTGAAGAAGTTCCAAACCTTTTAACCATTTCTGGTATCAAAGGCAGAATAAAACATTTTGCACTTCATTATTGATAAAATGTTGATGGGTTGCTTGCTTAATATCTGCTTTAAACCCCAATATATATTTATGTATTAATAGTAATTATTTAGAATAGCTGATTATTATTTAAATCTCTTGTATGTAAAGCAGCTAAAATTCTGCATCTCACTTTAGTGATGGAAGATTTATTCTACGAATTTCATGCATAAAATAACAACTAGCCAGATTTTTTAAATACGCTTTTATTGGTGGACTTTCTTAAGAGCAGGAAACAGAAAACTATGGTTGTTCATCAAATGTCTGTTTATATTGAAAGAATTAAAGATTAAAGAGTTTTGGGAGCAACAAATCGGATGTTGGAAATTGCCTATGAAAAAAAATATAATAATGTTACACTCATCCTACAAGTTATAGAGTTAATAAGAAAACTTTGTCTTAATATCTGTTGTATATTTGTACTCTTGTTCATTTAGAGCAGAGTGGTTTATTAAAGCTCTTTGGCAAACTCTAAATTACTATATCTCATTATTTCTAGTGCAAAGACCCATGTGCAAGTGTTAAAACATTTGCTAAAGGATTTCTCATGATTCTCTCTTAATAGTTTGTAGTTATGGAGCTTTTAAATGGCCAATAATGCTCTCTAATGGAAACAGCAAAAACAGGAGAAGTGTATTGTTTAAAATGTGAGAAGAGCTTACTCATACCAGTGCCTTCATATGACAGAGTTTAACAAATTTTAATGAGGGAAAATTAGAAATCCTCTGATTTTGTGCTTAAATTGTAATGTTTCAGGTGTTGTCTATATACATATTTTGAATAAAATGCACATGTATTCCATTATGAAATAGCATAATGGAAGTACTGTATGGCAAAGCTATTCTCATAATTTAAATTTTCATTCTTTGCTTTATGGGTTTGACACTTTTTTGTGACTAATAGTAATGTAATATTTTTTTACTTTGCTACATAATCAGGAATTACTTTATAGACAGTTTAACACTGTAGATCAGTTTTTCATTGTTTTTCTTTAGCCGTCCTTTTGTACTGTAAGGTAAGTATTGCAGTTACAATGAAATATGACAAATAATCTTGGTTCAATATAAAGAAGTTCTTCGAGAAGCTTTTCATAAAGAATCATTTGATTTCTTTATATATTTATTATCCAAAGCTCAGTTGGTTTTGTTTGTCCTCTTACTTGCTGATGGTAGTCTTTTAATTTGCATTCAATGATTTATACTACTAAACTTTTAAATTGTGGTTGTATTGTTTATTTACTAACTTTTTATGTTGAACAGGTGCATTGGTGCCCAGTGGAGACACATCTTGCTATAATTTATTTGTATTTTTAAGATTTTTCTGCATAGTATATACAGCAGGCTGGTTAATGCAGATTTTAATATGATTCCACTGTTTGTTCTTACAGTATTTATATATTTTAATATGTATTTGTGTTCATGTTTTTAATTGATGTTGATTTTGGTTTACTGTATCAATAAATTCTTTTAAATAGTAAGTTATGGAATGGGAATATTCTTGTACACAAATGAAGTTATACCATTGGAACAAATAATTTAAATGATTCTGGAAAGTATTGGAGGATTGCTAAATATGCCTATTGTAGATAACAACAGGAAACACTAAGTTATGTTCAGAAAGAGGTCTGGTAAGAGGCAATATGTGTATCAAGAAGAAAAACTCAAAAATCATGCAAGGGTATTGCAAAGTACAACAAAAAGGGTCACCAGGAGTAGTGGACACAATGTTAAAGGGTAGGCCTCTGCTTTTCACTTTACTAGTATCTCAAGTAAGAATAAGGGAAAGGAGGAATGCAAGGTGAATAGTTCCACTATGTAAGAAATAACTTCCTAACAGTTACAACTTGCCCCATGCAGTATCTTTTATACTTCTTTTTTTTAGCACTGGATATCTCCCACCCAGTAGGGTGACCTGACAAAGAATAAAATAACTTTAGCTGTCAGTCATTCAATCTCTGTCTTGCCAGAAGGGTGCTGACATGGCAGTTCAGATGACCCTTCAAACTGCAACTACACTCCTCTTTCAGGACTCAAGTCCAACTAACTGGTTTCCCTAAATCCTCTTATAAATGTTACCTTGTTCATACTCCAACAGCACATCAAATCATAAAAAAACCACTAGCCTCCACTCGTTCCTGTCTAACACTATTACAATGTGTTCTGCATAATTATGCTCTTACAAATGTGTATACTATATGTATTTCCAAATTTATGCTATATGTAGTGTTAGTATTATAGAGCAGTTGGCAAAAGAAAGGTAGACTGGTGAGAGTGACCAAGAAGCATGGTGAAAACATGTAGTGTGCCTTCAAGTGTGCAGTGTTGCTGTGTAGTATACGGGTTTATTGCTTTTTTTTTTTTTGTGGATACAATAATAATAGAGTGCAGTTTAAGTTTTGTTATAGGAAGGTAGGTGCAGGGTGGAAGAACAGTAATTGATGGAATGATTAGGTGAAAATAGCAATAAAAAAAACTTGATCAGTGCATCAAAGTTTTTATAATGCAAAAATTATGAAAAACATACCACAGTCAGTGCTGGGTATGCACAGGGGTTATCTGGGAGATGTTACATTTGTGATTTACAAGGAAATTTTCCCCCTTCTGCCGCCCATACCCTCGCTTCCTTCCCTACCCTGCAGCGCTGTATAGCCCTTGTGGCTTAGCACTTCTTTTTGATTATAATAATAATAATACAAGGAAATTGCTTTGAAGAGATTCAGCAGTGTGTGTGTAGGAGCTACTGGAGTAGTTAGTGTCTAGGAATAGGTATGAAATGAATACAAGGAAGAGCAAAGTCATGAAATAAATGCTGTCTTGCTTAAAGATTGGAGGTCAGATTTAATATTTTAATGTTAAGCACTAACCCCATGCGAGTCATTCAGCACAAGACACGGTGGAGGCTCGATTCTCCATCTGCTAAGTGCCAGGCAGATGATTTTCCTATTTATTCTTGTCTTAGTCTTGCTATAGCAAACCGAGGATCAAGCCTCCGCCACTTCATGTACTCAATGACATCCACGTATTATTAGGAGGAGAATCAAGCCATCAAGATGCTGCTCAATGATCGACATGGGTTTTATGCTCATTCCATGTACCTCACCTGACTGAAGCCTTGCAAAGTGATCAGTAGGAAGAAGGTTGCTAACTTAGTCCTGATGCCATATGAATGTGAAGTGAAGGCTAGAATCACATATGCAGGTCAATAATTAAAAGAATAAAAAAAAGGGTCAGAGTGAAAGGAAAGAATATGGAAGTAAATAATTTTATTATTATTATTATTATTATTATTATTATATTTAGGGGAAGCACTAAACTTGTAGGGGTTATACAGTGCTTGAGGAATGTGAAGCAATCACATTCAGTCTTAGAAAAAGGAAGACTAAGTCCAATTCCTTGAATCAGAATCCCCTAACCAGCATTAAAGAACCTCCCTGGATTGGAGAGAATATATTTGCAGTAGATATTCGGGAGTGAAAGTGTCAGAAAATTGGGTTTTAAAGTATAAGGTAAATCAAGACTATGTGAGGGAAAGAAAGTTGAAAGATTGTTAAGAAATCTGTTGACAGTATGAAGTTTTTCATTGGGTGCAAAAAAAGAAATACATTTCTGATTTTCTGTTGGTGTGAACAAGTCTTTGTATGCTCCAACCTGTATGACTTGTGGGTTTAGTGCTTAGTTTTGATTGCAATTTGATTTTATGTTGCAACAAGGGAGAAGTAGAAATGTGTAATGATGAAAGTGCAGTGTATTCAGATACTTAGGACTGAAGAAGGTATAATTCAAAAAGCAGAAGAGGGATCATTGAGATGGAGGAAGATCACACATGAGTTTAGAATTTTTTGTAAATACAGTGTATCAGAATAATAGTGAGCAAAATCAGTTGATTGAGAGAGAGAGAGAGAGAAATCTGAATTGTTTAGATGGAAAGCATGGTTTCTGAATTGTGTGTGAGTGTGACCCATTATTCATTATGCAATGCCTGAATAGATCCCTTAACTAGTAAAAGAAAGTGATGATGTCCAAAGAAGTGCATATAAACTGTTGCCTGATTTGAAAGGAATAAGGTTTGAAGAAAGCATTAGAGTACTAGCCTATTAAGGAGGGATACCTTGATGCTGAAGAAGGTCTCTCTTAATTGACTGTACTTACTGTCTTAGAGCCTGTAGATTTTATTTTCAGCATCTCCATGAGTGCCCTAATGTTGTAACTATCCTCCAAAAGTTTTACTTTCAGTACAGATGTTCTTACTTTTATAACAAAACTAATATATTGTATCAACTATGACTCCCAATTTGCATTTGTACTAACCTTCCACTTCAACATAATTATTGTGCTTTTTATCACAATAATTATCTTGATTTCAAGGAGTTAGATCTACTCTTCCCTTCCTCCATTCAAACTTGATTAGCTCCCATTTCCCAGGTGCTGTGTGACTTGTGTTGATTTATCACTTCCTCATGAATATAATGCTGTATAGCCCTTGTGGTTTAGCGCTTCTTTTTTATTATAATAATAATCATGAATATAATAATAAAAATAAGAAAGAACTTGGCTTGTTGTCTCTGCAAGAATGGAAACCAAGGTGAGAGTTAAGAATGAAAGCTAGTCTGGGATTTGATTTTGACAAACGGTATTTTGGGCAAAGGGTAGACTTGGATATGCCCCTTACTAGGGGTATAACATAAAGGCATGGCTGGAAATTACAGTACATGCTCAAATGTGTCACAGGATTATTCAAAAGTGCTTCAACGTAAGTTGGTGTTTTAGTAATATTTTTTAGGTATCGTGCAGCTCATCATAGCCCTAAATGAACCACGGAGCTATTCAGTATCATTTTGTTAAGAGAGACTTTCACTGAAGTGCTTTTGAATAATCCTGTGATACATTTGGGTGTGTAATTTCCATTCATGTTGTCTTATTACATCCCAGGTACAGAGCCTGTCCTTGTCTACTCTGACAGTGCTTTAAAGTATTGATAATCGTATTTGCATTCTTTCTTCATTGCTCAGTTTCTTCTACTGAAGCATCAGACTTGATGCATTGCTTTGGACTTTCAAAGAAGTTTACCCTGTGATTTATTAAGTGAGGGTTCCATACAGGTGCTTCATACTCAAGAATGGGCTGCCCATCTGATCTTGTGTTTTGAAAGTCTTTATCCAGGTTACCGAATCTCTTATGTTTTCACACTCGGCCTGTGCTATTACTTTTATTCTGTAAGTAGGTTTCAGGGGTCAGGATTGGTATAATAGTTATTTAAAGATGTTTTTCCTTAACTGTTTCAATGAAACTTTTATCCTCTGGTCTCTTTTCTGCAGTTACCCTCGATATACAGTATAATATAGTGTTACATAACATTCAATGATTTGTTTTTATGTTTGAAATGACTACATGTATAAAAATGTCTTAGAGCTACATTAGGATGTGATTCTAGAATTGATTTTGAAATTACATACTGAAATTCAGATGTTTTACAAACATCATTGCCAAACTTTACAAATTGAATGTATGGTGAGAATTATAATCAGTCGGAAACAATATCTAAAATGTGCTATTAAGATATTTTTGCATTTTTTTGTGGAATAAGTGTGTAAGTCAGTGATGTTACCTATGTAAAACTGTTAATTTTTACATAAAAAAATGTCTTGGTAGGTCTAATTGCTTTTAATGGAGATTAACAGTGTTACTCAAATATATAATGTATACCTTATTAAAATTAATTAAGTGGGACCCACTGTGAAGCATATATGTTACCGCTGTACCACTGATATTAACGATGCTGAAAACTCTGGTATTGTTACACTCACTGTAGTGTGATATTTCAGTTTGTTCTTATACATTGCTAAAATGGTTACTCTAGTTTGTATCATGTTTATTGTTAACATGTGATATTATTGTGTGGCAATTAATTGTTCTTGGCTTTTGGAATTTATAGAGTACTGTAATTATTATAGTTCTTTCTTCAGTATTATTCCTTGTCACATGATATGAGACATACACGTGTATGATTTGTGTTACTTTGACATCGAGTTCTTTAAATGTGGTTGTGTAATGAAAAGCAAACTATTCCATACATAAATGTGCCTTATATTCGCTAAGAGCATGAAAGGCTGAGGTTTGGCATCGTGCTTTCTAGATCTACCGTTGAACTGCCATATTCTAGTGCATAATAAAGTGACATGAAATACAGAATTTTAGAAGGTACACGAGTGTTTGGAAAGGAACAAGTTTATCAGTAGATAATTAACTATTTATGACTGAATTTTTTTCATACTTTATTGAATGAATGCTGCTGATTTTTTTTTTTGTCATAAATACACAGGTGATTGATTTTAACATTATAATATGCATTACAGTGAAACTTTTTATATCCTTTTATAATGGGACTGAAACCCTATCAGATGTGGTTAACTGTATTAAACTGCAGTACCAGAAATTTTTTCACAAGGTACTGTCATACTATATAACATTTGTTTTTAAATATTGCTTAATTTATAAAATGGTGTAATCCATGTATTATGGAAAGGATGTGCCAAAGTATTGGTATCAGCTAATTTTTATAGTATCGGGTATCGTCTTGTTTGATAGTAGTGGGTATCAGCTAGTTTTGATATCGGTGTCAGTGGGTATTGACTAAATTTGATCGTATCAGGATCAGTATCAGCCTAAAACTAAGTACAGTGGACCCCCGCATAGCGAACGCATCGCATAGCGAACAATCCGCATAGCGAACGCTTTGTTCGCTGAAATTTTGCCCCGCATAGTAGACAAAAACCCGCTCAGCGAACTTCGTCCGAGACGCGTCCAATGTGCGGCCTCGGCCAGCCTCACATGTGCCGCCTGTCCCATTGTTTACCAGCTAGCCTCCGCGGTAACATTCAAGCATACACTCGGAATATTTCGTATTATTACAGTGTTTTCGGTTCTGTTTGTTGAAAATAAGTGACCATGGGCCCCAAGAAAGCTTCTAGTGCCAACCCTGTGGTAAAAAGGGTGAGAATTAGTATGGAAATTAAGAAAGATTTTGAAGGGTTTGGGGCTAACCCTGAGAAGCCTATGCCAGTTGTGGAATCCATTGTGCCTACTTCAAAAATTAAGGAAATGTGTGCACAGTGGGTTGAACTGCAAACCTTTATGGATGAAAATCACCCTGACACAGCTGTTGCAAGGCGTGCTGGTGACTATTTCAATGACAATGTTATGGCCCATTTTAGACAAATCGTAAAGGAACGGGAGGTACAGAGCTCTATGGACAGAAAGAAGTCCAGTGACTCTCAAGCTGGTCCTAGTGGCATTAAAAGAAGAAGGGAAGTAACCCCGGAAAAGGACTTGCCTCCTCAAGTGTTAATGGAAGGGGATTCCCCTTCTAAACACTAACACTCTCTCTCCCCTCCTCCCATCCCATCAATCATCACCAGATCTTCAATAAAAGTAAGTGTCATGTAATTGTGCATGCCTTTTTCAGTTTGTGTGTACTAAAATTAACATTTTTTTGTGGTAAAAAAATTTTTTTTTCATACTTTTGGGTGTCTTGCACGGATTAATTTTATTTCCATTATTTCTTATGGGGAAAATTAATTCGCATAGCGAACATTTCGCATAACGACCAGCCCTCTTGCACGGATTAAGTTCGCTATGCGGGGGTCCACTGTATCTGTATTAGTATTGGCAAAAAAAATTGCTATTGTCTCATCCCTATATTATCGTTCAGTATTTGTTCACTGTATCCTACAGCATTACTGGTAATTTTTTTTTTTTTTTTTTTTTTTTTTTTTTATAAAACTGTCTATATAGATCAACCTGTTCAATGAATCCCTTTCAGATTGATATGAAACAACATTTAACTTAGAAAACTTTTCTTACCAGAGTCCATGGGGATGTGCTAAAGCCATAGTGTTATATAGTGCCTGGGGAATGGGAGACAATTAGGTTTGATCCATAGAAAGGGAGGGTAGCTCCAGTTACCAGGATCAGTAACCTCAAGGCACCTCAGCTGAAAGGAGCAAATGTCAGTGAGATTGCTAGTAATAATGGTATAATTACCAACAAAATGTTAGGTAAGTGGACTCAGATGCAACTAGTAAGTACGTTTATTCAGGTATATACAAATACAGTTACATAGATTATCTTATATAGCAGCATATGTGTAAAGAACCTAGGATAACCCAAAAAAGTCAGGCAAAGTGACTTATTATAATACTATAAAGGAGATAATATCTTATTATTATACTATAAAGGAGATTTACTGTGAATAAGGTAAAATGAGTTATTTATATTTACATGTGTGTTAGCTAAAAAAAAAAATAAAAAAACATTCTCCCTTTCTGTTGCTACATTCATTAGGCACCTTTTGACTCTTGAACTGGTTCATGCTATGACTGGCTTTGAGATGTGCAGGCAGTTTGTTCCATTCCTTTATTGCTGTACAATAAAAGGTGTTTGAAGCCTGGCCACTGACTGTGGGTACTACAAAGTTGTGCTCTCTCCCCTTAGTACTATGATTGCTTTGGTTCCCAGGCTTGACAAAATTGGCAGCAAGATATTCTGGACACTGTTTGTGAGCAATTTTATAAACTTGATTTAACTTCATTTGTTTTACTCTGTGCAGTTTATATGTAATAACATATTGCTATACAGAAAGAAAGTCATTAGCATACATCAGCATTTCAGGCAGACTAATCCTGATGCTTACACACCACTTAAAACTAGACACAAGTGACATTTTATTGTTGGAACCTTTCATCTCCAGGATCAAAACATTGCCACAATAAAATGTCATATTAGTTGCATCTGCATCCATTTACCTAACAATGAGATTGTTGTCGGTAAATTTTGCTATGGAAAAATCACATTCAGTCATTTGTCAGTTTTGTCTTACCTAATTGTAAGTTTTCTTCATATATGGGACCTTTAAATGGTGTAACAATTTTTGACTGAGGGCAGTTCTCCCCATTCTTCTACATCTAGTAGTGCTAGTTTATGCTTGGTACATACTGCCTCAGAACCACTCACTAAATCATAGTGATACTAGTTGGGATGCTAGCTGGAGATATTGTAAGCAACCACCTGGCTGTGTAAGGCCAGTGTGGCTTGGTTCCTATGGACAGCACACATATCTCTTAAGAACTGCAAATGCATAAAATTGCTGAAAGCATTTAACCCTTAAAACGGTCCAAACAGTTCGACGTTCAAATTCGTAGTGCTACAAAAGTAGATCTACTTTTTTTACATATTTTCAAATATAACAAAAAAAAATGTAGATAAAAGTTTTTTTTACACGTTTTCAAATGTAAAACAAAAAAGATCTACATTTTTTTACATACTTTCAGATGTTGAAAAAACGTATATATACGTTTGGACCGTTTAAGGGTTAAAAGAATTCAGAATATAAATCAGATTTTTTTTATTAATGATAATGATTATTATTCAGCTTTTTAAAAATCAATACCTCTCACCAGTGGTTAATTTTTCTTTGCTTAATTTTTAATGGTTGTTACCAATCAGGGAAAACTGATAAGGATATTTATTAGAAGTTGGTGGTTAATTAAAAGTCGGATATGACAAGTTTTACTGTATCTAATTTGTAATTTTTGTAACTTGAATTTGCTTTTGGAAAGTTTTATGAGAAAAGTTCTTTTGACATTACAGTACAAATATATTTTGACAATCTTCGTCACAAATATTGGTGCATAATAATAATAAAAATAAATTATTTCTTGAAGTATTTTGTGGTATTTATGGTTATTAGGAGTGAGCACATTGTTTTTCAGTAGTACTGTGTACAAGTGTTGACTTTTCTTTATTTTTGCACTCTTCTCTAGTAGTTTGCAAACGTTTTAATTAGAATAGATATTTGAACAATTTCAGTGTTAGGCTGTTGACAGCAATTGATGTGTGTAAAATTTCTTAATTTTTTATCTCACAAATAGAATGTGTGTTTACAAATGTGTGTGTGGGTATGTATGTATTGATATGTATGTATATTTTTTCTTTTAAACAGATGAAAGCACCTCTTTGTGATATTCTTGGAAAAAAAAAATGGTACTGTAAGTACTACATAATATAGACAGAATAATTTTTTCATTATTTTCAAAATGGAGGTGATTTTGCCTTTGCACTTACATGAAAGTTAGTCCACTGCAATTCTTTGTCTATGATTGCTCATAATTGGTATCTTGTACGTAGTCTGAAATAAATATTTTGATGATTTGTATTTGTATTATGTACCCTTATACAGAAATTATTTATAATATTGTCATCATCATTATTATAAGCAAGGGGAGGTGCTGAACCTGTAGGGGATGGACAGCCTATAAGAAATGGGAGGCAATTGGTCTTGATCCAAGGAAGAAAAGGATAGGCCCCAGTTGCACAAAGGCACCACAATTGAGGTGTTTTTATCCTTGAAAGTGTTGAGTGAAGAGCAAGACAGTTCTTAACCAAATTTAGGTATTTAAAATTACAGTTTTGTATGCAAAAATTAGACTAACTTCCTCTAAAAGACGATCCATTTTTGTGGTAAAGGGATTGTGCCTTTTGTTGATGCCATAGACTGTACTGACCGGGCTTCTCATGTCAGGGTGACTATGGTAATGGAGACAGAGAAACAAGTCACTTTAACTAACTTTTTATTGGGTTTTCCTAGGTAATTTACACATTTGTTATTATGTATGATAATTTTACTTGTGTGAACCTGTACCTAAATAAACTTACACTGCTTCCACAAATAACCCACACATAGAAGAGAGAAGCTTACCTGGAGTTTACCTGGAGAGAGTTCCGGGGGTCAACGACCCCGCAGCCCAGTCTGTGACCAGGCCTCCTGGTGGATCAGAGCCTGATCAACCAGGCTGTTACTGCTGGCTGCACGCAATCAAAAGTATGAGCCACAGCCCGGCTGGTCAGGTACCGACTTTAGGTGACAGTGCCTCTTGAAGACTGCCAGGGGTCTATTGGTAATCCCCCTTATGTATGCTGGGAGGCAGTTGAACAGTTTCGGGCCCCTGACACTTATTGTATTGTCTCTTAACGTGCTAGTGAAACCCCTGCTTTTCATTGGGGGGATGTTGCAACATCTGCCGAGTCTTTTGCTTTCGTTGTGAGTGATTTTCGTGTGCAAGTTCGGTACTAGTCCCTCTAGGATTTTCCAGGCGTATATAATCATGTATCTCTCCCGCCTGTGTTCCAGGGAATACAGGTTCAGGAACTTCAAGCGCTCCCAGTAATTGAGGTGTTTTATCTCGTTATGCGTGCCATGAGGTTCTTATTTAGGAGCATT